GCCAGGACCATAAGGACCTGTTTAAAAAAAAAAAAAAAAAAAAAAAAAAGGCAGTCTAAGGAGCTAATAGAGAAGTTTCAGAAAGGGGTTCTAGCAAAAGGAAAGGTAGCCACAATAGAGGGAACTACCGTCTTCACCCGAATAGAACGCCCGGTCATTATAGCTGTATTTGGCACAACTTTCGGTCCAGATGCAGTGATAATGACCGGGCGTTCTATTCGGGTTTTCCAATGGTTCCGGCAAGTACAGCTAGGGTCCGTAGCAGGGACTGGCAATCAGGAGGCTCAAATAAGAGAAGCATAGAACGCGTAAAAAAAAAAAAAAAAAAAAAAAAAAAAAAAAAAAAAAAAAAAAAAAAAAAAAAAACAAAGGCAGTCTAAGGAGCTAATAGAGAAGTTTCAGAAAGGGGTTCTAGCAAAAGGAAAGGTAGCCACAATAGAGGGAACCACCGTCTTCACCCGAATAGAATGCCCGGTCATTATAGCTGTATTTGGCACAACTTTCAGTCCAGTTGCAGCGATAATGACCGGGCGTTCTATTCGGGTGAAGACGGTAGGTTGGTGTTCCAATGGTTCTGGCAAGTACAGCTAACGTCCGTAGCAGGGACTGGCAATCAGGAGGCTCAAATAAGAGAAGCATAGAACGCGTAGGGGACACAGGACAGAACTTGCAGAAAGCGGAGGGTTTAGGGCCTTTTAGGCCATTTAGGGTTTAGGAAGGATAGGTGCCGGAGCTCACAATTGCAAGGGATAGAATAGAAAAGGGTGGGAAAAACTGTAGTACTAGGATTAGCCCCTCTTTCTAGTGGTTCTTTTGTGAAATCATGGAGTCAAAGGGACAGTGGACCCGGTTTCCAGCCAAGCTGAAACCGAGTAATGGCCTCATTACACCAGGTTGAGATGTAGAGGGATTCCCGGCCTCCTTTTCAGATTTGAGTCTTGAGATGGTCGCATGAGTGTCTTTGTGACAAGCATGAGAATCTGACCCCCAGCTCTGTCCAGATGATAACCATCCCAGGGGGACAAAGACTGCAGTTGCAACGACCCGCAAAGTTGCAGTCGGGGAACTGTGCGCTGTTTTTGTGTCCATGTGGCTGTCTGATGAATGCTGCTGAGTCCAAGTCTGTGTCCGTGTGATATCTCTTTTCTTCGTGCTTTTTCTCATTCTTCTCTCCAGATTATTTTGTTTCCTTTCACTTCTTTTGAGTTGCGATCGATAACATCGTCTCAAAGTCGAACCACCAGTACTTCCGAGCCTCTTTTCCCGTGATACTAAACGCCCTGCGTGCACCATAGAAAAAAAAAAAAAAAAAAAAAAAAGAACGAACTGGTGCGGGCCTTCTTTTGGCTGGTGCTGCCAGCCATTTTGCTCCGGCAGCCGACCGCCAAAAGTTGCCCCGTCCATGCAGCCGCATCGGAGAAAAATGGCTGGTAAATGTACTGCCGGTCTAACTCGTGACAGTAGTTTTTTTTTGGAGAACACGCATCACCGAGTTGTGGAGTTCAATTATGTCATCCCTCAACACGTCAATAAGATCGGACATATGGACAGTGAATCAGACACCTCTCTTGTCGCATACTCACGACTCACGAGAGATGGTGTGTGAAAGAACGAACTTAGAGCAGTCTCCAGGGGATCCCATAACCTCACAGGAAAACTCAAAACATCCTTATCTCAATCCGCCTGGTCTGGGTCAGAACACCTACCTTCTTCCCCCGAATACAATGCACGGTCATTATAGCTGTATTTGAGGCATCGTTCAGTCTAGATACAGCTATAATGACCGTATGTTGTATTCGGGGGAAGAAGGTAGAGGGACACTGCACATGGGTGTCTCCAACCACGCGGTTGGAAGTGGAGGGAATGGGACACCTGGCAGAACCCCCACAATGGAACCCCCTCAGTGGGACCCCCACAATTCTCAGGTCGCAGCGCTTCCCCCTTCACTTTTCGAGGGAGGGAAAGGGTGCACATGTGGGGGCTCTGGACATGTTCACTGACGATGCTTCCCCCTTCACTTTTCAAGGGAGAGACAAAAAACGGTTGGCTCCGGACATGTGCAACGTAGAAAAGGTTGGAGCAACTACCAGTAACCTGGAGAAAAAAGCAAAGGGCAAAAGCGCTGCGAGCGTGTCGGATACCAAGATGGTACAGACCAGAACCAAGAACCGACCTCTCACAGATAGAGCAGGATAGCACAGCGGACTGGAGTACAAATGATCAGACCCAATCAATGTCGAAATGCAGACAGGCATACATCATCATCATCACAGGGGGTGAATGGCCTGGCGCCGCACACCAGGATGAAGGTGCCTGGCCTATGTTATGTACCCGATTGAACTTCCATCCACAACGAATTCACATGTTCCCATACACGCATGCAATTACATAGTAGACCCCGAGGAGGCAAATCCACACAAAACTGGAAAGAGGATATGCACAGCGGAAGCTCGAAATACACAGAAATGAAAACCGAATTTCAATTCTGTAATCCCCCGTCCTCCTCCAATCAATCCGAAGTACTTGTTCCAAGAATCACAACCGTGTTTACAACAACCCCGAACCACCAAAAACAAGTGCTCAACGAAGTCTACAGGAGTTTTCTTCTTCCTCCTCGCCACCTCGTATACCCCTGGCTATGGCTGCCGTAGCAGCAGGAACCCCACAGCTGTCACAACCTGCCAGTCTGAACCAGCAACCCCAATAATAGCAGCGCCAGCTCAGCGCCTGCGAGGCAGTGCAGCGTTGGAAGTCCTGATGAAGAAGGAGACGACCAATCCAGTACTTCGAAGAAGACAAAAACGAAGTTCCTCCCGAGGAGGAACAGCAGATATGGCTGCCAAGTGAAGAAAAGCAGCGGCCAAACCCAACAACACAGTTCTGGTGAAGCTCTCGTGCAGAGCTGCTGGATAGCAGCAGTGCGATCTCCAACTTCGTGTCCCAGCCCCAGCTATGGCTGGGCTTCGGGGAAGAAGATGCCTTCGCCCAAAAATAACGCAGCCACGCTATGGCAATGATCGGCCAGAGATTCCCCAGCCGAGCAAACAAGAAAAGACCCCGTACTAATTTTCCTGCCCGCTACTTCTACACTCCGCCTAGACCTACAACGGACTCCTCAAGCAACAACCCAAGACTCACCTGAATCTAGATGGAAACAGGGGAAAAGGGGACCTAGACCTATGAAAGCAAAAGGAAAAGGCCGAATGGCCTGGGACTACCAAACAGAGACTACTAGTAGCAGTCTCAGGGATCAAGTCCCATACGGCTCAACACTCGCAAACAAAACACACAGATTACAGGTCACGGGATCAAGTCCCGCAAGGCTCAAAACAGGCAAACAGCAAACAAACAGGCAACACAGCAGACAAAGGTTGCGGGATCAAGTCCCGGCAACACGACAGGGACAAAATTAGTGTACAGCCCACTTGTAGCACTGCAATTCATTGCACCTAACTCATACACAGATGAGGAGGAGGGGGAAGAGACGAAGGAGAAGGGGGAAGAGATGAGAATGACGTCAACCAAAATGTCCCTGATATCAATCCCAAGTAGTCCCCCAAACATTTCTGTCCAATGTCGAGTCTGAATCCCAAGTGTCGTCAATCTCTCTCTCTCTCTCTCTCTCTCTCTCTCTCTCTCTCTCTCTCTCTCTCTCTCTATCTCTCTCTCTCTCTCTCCAACGTCTCTGTCCAATGTCGAGTCTGAATCCCAAGTGTCTTCAAGGTGGTGGACTGGGGGAAGAAGAAGAAGAAAACCTCTCTCTCTCTCCCTATACCAGGTACTGACCTGCGAAAGGTGGTGCCTTGATGCAGGTGCGGACGTGCTGAAGACGAAGCTGGAGCAACGGCCACGCAGGTAAGTCTCAGGTAAGTCCTCTGGCCGCCATCACCATCTCTC